CTATTTTTGGCTTGTTTTTTTTTTCAGCCCGTACCCATATTTTTGGTGCCCTACTCTCGGCACCTAATGCAAATTTTTCGCATTCTAAATAATTTTAACCCATACGTTAATATTATTTTGCTTCTACAATCGACCTTGTATGGCTCGATTTATTGAATTAATTAAAAGTGACCTGCAATCCATTAATCTGATAATGAATCCAAAATTATTGACCTCAAGATCACTTTTGGACATTAACGATTCAATATTTTATTAATGTTTAGTTCAATATTTTATTAACGTTTAGCTCATAATCCAATTTCGAACTTTTTTTTTACAACACATGGTAGAATCAGGGCCTGCCAAGGTGTGGCATCATGCCCGAAGCATGATCCTTGGTACCTAAGACCTAAAACTTTAAAAATAAGGGAAAATATTTCCGAACCTCAACCTTGCAAAATCTATTTTTGTCTTGATAGAATAGATCATTGGTTATGCACATGTTCGTGCCCCTACCAATGTTGTTGAGAAGTACCATTCTAGTAGTCAATACGTGAGACTAATTTTGCTTCACTAACCACCGTTGGAAGAGTAGAGTTTTGACATGGATAGCCTTGTTGGCTGAATCCCTTTAGTAAACCATTTACTTTGTGAACATTTTTCCATGTTCTTGGATTCAAGTTTGGTGTATGTTTTACTTATGGATAATCTTATTGATATTGTCCTCGAATATGAGTTAATTGAATCATGTTTCTTAATACATGTGACCGATTCAGTTAAACAAGTGATTAGGTAGGAATGTGGGAAAGTTAGTTGTCTGGATGAATGTGTACAATGCACACTAACTTTACACCTAAATCACATCTCTAACAATGACTTCAGGTCTATCTAACTTGATTAAGAGCATTAGCACGCTCCTCATTGTATGAATGGTACTGAATCACCATTTAAGGGACCTTAAATTCTCCCTGATGTTGAGTTTTTAAGGATATTCGAGATGACAATGATCATAAATGAACCACTGAACAAAATATAGTGGAATATCTTTGCACAACCTCCAAAAATGAGCTTGAAGCTTTGATTTGGGCCAATGGGTTGTCTCCCAATTGGGAACACACCACATGTGGCCGGCCTGGAGCTGGGTGATTGAGCAGTTTACTTGTTTTGGCATGACCTTTTGGGACACTTAGGTCGAACAATGATGCTACGACGCATCTCCTTACCCGAAGTAAGGATCTTGTGCCTACAAGCACACTTTGCTAAAACCCGCTCGTTTTGGGAAATTTGATTTCTAAATCATCCCTAGCAAAGATACAAAACGACTCATTTTTCATAGTGGATTTAAGGGAATATATATGGACTAATCCAACCAAAATGCGGACCATATAAATACTTATGGTTTTGGTTGATGAATCGACAAACTGATCACATGTTTGTCCATAAACATTACTGCTAAACCTCATGGCCGATTAAGGGTTCACGACCTTACTTATCCATTAAAGTCCGGAAACTGGATAATGTTGGAGAGTTTATATCGACGCTTTTCGATAAAGTATTGCATGTTGTTTTGGGTTTATAATTGAACATTGAATTCCCATGTTCACCCAAAAAAGCCTCGCCTAGTGATCATGAAATGCAATTTAAATGATCGCCCGAATTTTGGTAAACGTACCAAGTTTTCGATTTCTGCCTACGGCTATGCAATCCTTGTACACAGTTCTGTTGGTCCACCTTGAGGCTCATTGCCACCCAACCTATATGACGTTACAGTTGGTTATTGGGTACGAACCTGACGATTTTCGTATTTACGCATTTGGGTGTGCATTATATGTGCCAAGTTGCTCCGCCACAACGTACCACCATTGGTCCTCAAAGAAGGATGTGAGTCTTTGTTGATCATGATTCTCCTTCACATTAGCTCTCTTCGAGCCCTTGCATGCAATCTCTTTACCGCTCATTTGAGGGTTGTCACTTTAATGAGACAGTCTTCCCGCCGTTAATGGGAGCTAAGAACGTCAACGTTCCTGTAGAAAGGCGAGAATTTACGTGGATGTTACCTATTATGTCTCATCTCGATCCCCATACCGCACAAGTGTGATAAGTAAGTGCGATGAATTCTAGCTTTCAGAATGTTGCTCCAGACGCATTCTACTGATCTAGTTAAAGTGACGAGATCATATACCAATTGCAAATATGTCTGCAAGGATAGACGTACTTAACGGACGTCGAGTCAATATCCCTGGAGGGTGTGCCACCCTTGTTAGACGGTTTGGACACCCATGTTGGACGGTCTGGTATATCAGCGGATAGCTAATTAATCTGTCTTGGCCTGGAACACGACAGATCACTCGGTTCGTAGGATTCACTTCCCTGGAAGAGGAAGACACGGCACAACAATGAATCTAAACTCGATCGTTGTCTCAAATCATTTCCATCTCATGAGATTAATCTGGATTTCTCCCGAGACTTAAAGTTCTTGGTCCAGTATACTAGTTTGGATGACCTAAATGGAATTGAAATGAGATTATCATTGATGATGTTTTCACTTATATGGTACTGACATAAATGAAAAGCGACGATATCGAACCGTGTTCCGTTGATTAAGTGACAACGTAAAACTGATTGGACAACTAAAGTTACAATCCAGGTCAAATTCCTTACCAAAGTATGTATTGGACCTGTCATTCCTACACATCCCAAGGTAACCCTGTTGTGTTACAAGTGGGAAAGGAAGCGTTATGAGATGAATGAAATAGTGCAATATGATTTACGCCTTATGACGCAAGGTTTCTCTCAAACGTCATGTGATTGATAGCAGCATTATGAAATGTGGTTAGTGTTTTCTCCATGGGGATATAGATACGAAGATTTACATGTAAGTTCTCGAAGAATTACATGGACTGTTTCAAATAGTTCCAAAACCACGGAACACCCTTTTAACTAGTTTTGAGGCGTTCACTTATGGATTGAAAAATCCGACGAATGTGGTATACCTGTCCAAGTGATTATTTGATCAGTCAGGGATGAATTATGCCATTGCATGTTAAACTATGAAGTCTTATTCCAAATTGCTAGAGTTACAGTTTATGTCATTGACACGAATCTCACTAAGACTCCGGAAGAGCTTGAGAAAACTGCCTCGCACCTGAAGATGGAATTTGAGATGAAGGATGTTAGGAAAACTCGTTTATGCGTTGACCTGAAGTTGAATCATTGTTCTGACGATATTTTGGTCTACCAGTCGAACTACACCCTGAATGTGTTACCCTTGAGTATACCTATGATCGTCCATACGTTATATGCAAATGAGACCCTTGAAGATGTTATAGAATCCGAAATTCCACATCTAAGTTCAACTTTGCGCTTCGTTGTACTTAGCTAATTGTATTTAGACAGGACATCTCATTCACTGTTGATCTTTGTAAAGATGCATCATCGCGCCTACACGTAACCACTAAATTGGTATTAAAGACGTACCCTGAAGTTACTACACGGGTAAATCCCAACACATCTTAACGGATCCAACCCCCCTGATCCTCGAAATGATGTTTTCCTTGTTTGTTATGCTGACTCAGGTTACTTATTAAACCCGCACAAGGAAAAATCCCCAAATGGTTATGTCTTTACCGTTAGGAATATCGCAATATCTTGGAGGTCCATGATATGACCTTAGTTGCGAAATCTTCGAATTGTTCCAAAACTCACCTTACTTCACTATGCCACAAGTGAGACATGGTTAGGAGTTATTGTTGAGCATATTCGAAGTACTTGTTGTGTTTTCATCCATCGTTGAGTGCCAACGACAATCCATGAAGATTATGCCACATGTATCAACCCGACCAAGCCATGATACATCAACGAAGTCAACACCAAGACATATTGCGTCCACATCTACATCAGCAAAGCATCAGGAGATTGAAGTCATGCAAGTCGATCCCAGACAACCTTGCCGATCTCTACACGACGTCACTGCCGAAGTCAACCTTCCAGAAACTTGTCTGAGGAATTAGTATGCCTAACTATTCATATGCAATGTTTGTAGTTCTCATTTGGAAGTTATGTCAAACTCAGGGGGAGTATCCAGAAGTATTCTCACTTGATCTTAATGTATTCTTTTTCCCTACGATTAGTAGTATTTTTCCTACTAGGTTTTTGCTACCTAACTAGGTTTAACGAGGTACCCATCCTGGGTTGATCATACCTTTGTGAGCTATTCTACTTGCGTCCAAAAGACGTATAATTTTGACTTAATGCAACTTCTTACTTTTCTCTTTAGTCTATGGGTTTTTTCTCCCACCTTGGGTTTTACCGCATCGATATTTTGTGAGTTTTACTTTTTATGTATTCTTCCGTTGATTTGAGACTCACATTCACTCATTGTGCCGACGACTTCATCAACTGTACTTCATCACTGAAGATTTGATGTGCCATTTACTTGAGTATTTACACACTCAAGGGGGAGTGTTGTTGTGAAATTCCATCCTTGGAATTTCACCATTTATTACGTATTTCGTAATTTAAATTCGTATTTCGCGATTGCGTTATCTTTATTAGTTAATTTTAATTACACTAATTAGAAGTTTAGTAATTGATTAGTTATCAAGTTGGAAGTTTCATAATCAATCTTTATCTTTCGTTGACATTTTGAAGTTACAACTAGTGTTTTTAAATAAATCTTGAACCCACGAACCCATAGGCGAAAGCTGTTTGCGAGTTCGAATTATAATGGTATAGTTACAGACGTTTGAAGTGGTGAAAATATAGATTGTGGGAATTATTTTAATTTCCACTTATGGGTAAAAAGGCCAAACTTTTTTTTCGATTAATGGACCGGCTACTATAAGTGGAATTGGGCATTTTAGATGGTGGAAAAAGGTTAGTTAGCAGCCTAAAAAGGGGACACATCAGATTTTTTTAAAGGATGAGAAAGGACCAATAGGAAGAAGGGCGGTTGACATTTTCTTTTCCCATTTGGTGAACCTGTGTACACTATCAACCCTTTTTATTTTCGAACCGGCCAATTTTAGGCCAATTCCTACCATTTCTCTTCTGATTTTTCCTATCTTCTTCACCTGCAATTTGCTCAACTACCTTCCTCATTCCCTCTCTACCAAAAATTAAGGGTTTTTAAGGTCTATTTCACGTAGAACTCTATAGGAGAACCCGAGGGTTCTCGACGACGAATTGTCATTCCGGAGAGTATCACCATTCACCATCACCCTTAATCAACTTCCCTTGGACCCAAGAACAAGACCCAATTGGTGGTTGGGGCATTGGAACACAAAGGAAGCCGAATTGAAGAACACCCACCTTAGGGTTTCGTTGGGTGCGAGCCAATTTGAGGGCCTTCCTAGCCAAATTGGACTCGGCCACAGGTATAAAGTTTACTTTACTTGTTGAAATCTTCATTCTTGTAAAATTTGAGAATTTTTGGAAAAAGTCGAATTTTCCAATATGTGACATTCGATTTATGAAAATGCTGTTGATTGTATATTTTATCGATAAGGTTTGCCACTTGATTATTCTAACAATTGACAATCTTATTATTGAATTGAGACAAGATTTTAATATGCTATTGTAGATATTGTTTAAGGACCTTAGAGACTTATAAGTAAAAATCTAGTGATTGGATTTTACGAAGCAAATGACGTAAGATCATGGACCCTACATTAGAACGACGGTTCGATTCCTCATTAAATGTTGTTGTGGGAGACATATGAAAATTTTTGATTATGTGAATTATCGAAGGAAATCTAAACGTGGACTTGTGCTTCGTTATGCCTTGACTATCGTGCTAGGGTACATTAGCACGAACTCCAGGTGAGTGACTTTAATATATATGATATTGATAATTACCAGGTTGTCATAATTATGATCCTGTATGGATATGAATTGGTTTTATGAATATGTTCTATTGAATTGTTATTCCAATACTTCGACATCAATTTATGTTTATGAAATGGGGTGTGGCATGTATATTGGAAATGTGGTTTGATTTATATGATTGGCATGTTGAGATTAATGTGAGGACTAGTACTGACTGTTAACCATTATGATAGGGATTTGTTGCTTCAATATTGTTTCACCTTCCGCTTCAGTGATTGGTTCTAAATTTAGTAATTGTGCCTAATCTCCCTTTGTTGAGTTTTTGTAAATTAAGTAGCATGTGCTTGTCTCATTTCTTTGAGTCGTCGTACATTCTGATTGTTGGTATTCTGCGATTCCGTTGAGTGATGGTCCGGAATCCCTTCTATTCCATGATTCCGTTGAGTGATGTTCTGGAATCGTATCTGTATTGGGTTTCATTTAGCTATTGTTACGTATTGTATTTAGCGATTCCGTTGAGTGAGGGTTCGAAATTGTATCCATTTGGATTTCGTTGAGAGATGGTCTGGAATCCCTCCTATTTCACGATTCCGTTGAGTGGTGGTCCGAGATCGTACTCACCTTGGGATTTATGGAATTTGAATTGTGATGACTTCAAAGGTGTAGGCTTCGGCCAAACTGTGTCGCTCTAACTCTACTTTTCATTGTGTTGTATGAGAAGATGGTTGTGGGATGTTGTGATTGGTTTCAGACGAACCGTTGGATGTCTGGGTGACTCCTTCGGGGTTTGCAAAAGTTGGTATTGATTTCTTATGAATTATTTATATTCAAGATATGTAAATTGTGTTTGATGGTTGGCATTAGCATTATTATCACATACTTGATATTATTGTCACTCTCCTAAGCTTCGCAACTTATCTAGGTTGTTGTTTGCCTGGTGCACTATTCTGATGGTGTAGGCACTGATCGTACATGTGACAGGTTTGAGTAGACTCCGAGAAGTTTGTAGGTGGGGGTAGCAGTGCAGTTATCAGAGACTTGGAGCTTTAGGTTACCCTTGTTTCACTCTTGTACTTTATCTTTTGGGACTTTCTTTTGAGCACCTCATACTGTTCTTAGTAAAGCAAAGATTATGCTTCTTTTTGGGATGTACATATTTGTAAATATTTTGTGGAGAACTTAGCCACCTTCACATTATTTTGGGTTATCAGTTAAAGTATTTCATTCCGTATCTTATACCGTATTCAACGAACATTATTTTCTTTGTCATGTGTTGATTTTCGACGTATGTTGGGATCGGGACGTGACAATTTTTGTAGTATCAGAGCTTAGATTCAGGGTTTCATACCTTAACCTTAGAGTGAGGAAGCCTTGGGAAGGTTGGGTAGTGAGCCTTGACTAGGTCCGTGAATTTGTCTCTCAAATGTTAATTATATGCTTATGTTGAATTCTTCTTGTATCAGACATTATGACGACCCCACACGGTACTACTCAGCAGTTTGGGGATGATGTTCCCGACGAGGGCACTCTTGGTTTTGGTCAGGAGGCTAGCCATGATTATGATGGACCCGATGGAGCTTTTCGGGCCATCATTTAACACAGTTGATGCAGGCACACGTTCGTGCAACTCCTGGTAGGGAGAAGTCTTTGTACGGGGAGTTCCGTACCCATAAGCCACCTTCTTTCGATGGTAGTACTGATCCGTAGGCGACAGAGTCTTGGATCAATCAGATCGCCAGAATTTTCACTGTATTACGTTGTTCATCCGAAGAGCAGGTTGATCTTGCAGCGTATATGTTGACAGGTGAGGCTTACGAGTGGTGCCATATCACTCGTCCATTATTAGTAGCCTGGGGACCTCTTACTTGGGATCAAGACGTGACAATTGCAGTCCTATTAGATTAGGAATGTGATTGTGTAAATCCTAGTATATCTTGGAATATCTCTTATATTCCTATTAGGAGTAGATTACCTATTAAATGTTGTAATACTAAAGGGTAAGGAATTAACCTTTTCTACTACTATAAATAAAGGCACAATGGGGTTGAATAGAACACACCCACAATTACACATCTCTCTCCTTTTCTCTCTATGCCGCACCTTCCCTCTCTCTCTGGCCTCCATAATTGTTCAGTAAATTATGCGTACAACATAAAGATATATATATATCTTAAATTTAAGAGTTACCTCTACCAAAAGATTATGAAACACATAATAATTTTTTATTAACCAAAAAAATAGTTGTAATTTCTTTATTTTTTCAATAGCCCAACCTAATTATATTTATAAAAACAAAGTGATTAATTTTATTTTTAGATGTTTGTAATGAAATTTGCTGATATATGAATGGAGAAATTAATTGAATCAACATCAACATAGAAAGCAGACAGTGATATGCAGAAGTATGTGAAGAAAAAGGGGAAAACGAGATGGAGATATTTCTCTTTAAATTAATTATAAATAATAATTAAGAAAAAGTCTAAATCGGATACAAAGACAAAGAAGCGCGTAGGGAAAAAGAATTATATTAATATTTGTATTAGTGAAGAATGTATTGGTCGAGAGAGAGAGAGTCGAGTCTCCTGTACCTCTACTACAAGTTGTAACAGAAAACAAACTCTCTCCTCTTCTTCCTTTCGCCAGCTGTGCTCTGCCGCTTCCTTCCTCTCTCTCTCTCTCTATCTCGTCTCTACCTATATATATAGGCTGTAGATTTATTTTACTTGTACACAAACACGCCCTTATACACAAACACGCCCTTATACATTGCATAATCCCCTGCATTTGATGTCGGTTGGCTGATCTACCTCTCGATCTGTTCTCCTCTGCTCCGTTTGACTGCTGCGTTCACACCCGCTTGTTCGATCTGCACCGGTAAGTCCAATTTCTCATCTCCTAACGTTAGATCTCGCACTGCTTTAACTTTCCTTTTCTATTGTTAATTCACTCCAAACACTGAATTCACTCGCTTTTAACTTTTAATTTTTCCAACTTCGTCTGTGAATTAGATCGGTATTGCTGTAGTTGTTGGATTTTGTTTCGGATTGCAATGACGGCCGGCGTGGATGTGCACCTTGATGCCTGTGAATCAGAGGTGTCCAAAGGCGAGGTTGTCAATGTCAATGTTGGGAATGGGAATGGGAATGGGAATGGGAATCAGAGCGACAACGGTTTTTCTAAGGACGACACCGACACTGACGGCTCTTATGTCTTTGTGACCGGGAGTGATGCCATTGTTTCCCAAGACCCTGTCGAGTCTGATCCAAACAGTAGCGTTGTTCAGAACAATGGCAGTGTTGTTCTTCACTCGGAGGCTCAAAAGGACAATTCCCAATCTCATTTCCTCAACAAGGCTGCCGCACAAGCCCCACATCTCAATGACGGGGAGGTGGTGGTCTCTGACGGAGCAGAGACTGATAAGGATCCAGAAGTAGCCGACGAGGTGCCCGTGAAAGATGCTTCGAGGGATCTAGGCCAAGCGAGGGGGCATGATTCAATGCCAACCCCAACCCTGTCGTTGGATGACCAAGTTGTGGGTGATCCCGTGTCCAAGGAAGCTACTGCAGACGGCTTGCCTGCTTGTCATGCTCATGAACAGAATGGATCTTCTGAAGATGGCCACGCCTCGTCTGCCACAGTAATTTTTGAAGATGCCTCTCTCCAGGATGCGACGAAGCCAGCTACTCAAGGTGTCAACGGCTGTGCCTCTGATCAAAGTAGTGGAGATGGCTTGCCGAATGCTCATGTGCCTCTAGTTACAAATGACTCGGTTGATGCACCTGAAGAGAATAATGGATCGTGTGAAAATGCTGATAGTTTGGAGAAAGTAGCTGTTGAAAATGGTGAAAGCTTTTCAACTGTTGCTGATAATGATATAATAGGAGATCAAAAGGCTGAGAATGGGGTTTCTCCACCTACGGAAGAAGTTTCAACTTGCGCTGTTGATGACGTGAGTCCAGAGCTTGATGCTGTAAAGTTAACTGAGAAGAGTAGTGAAGTCCCCAATCCTTGCCCCCTTGTGCATTCAGACTCAGAAATTGAAGCTGAGAGGGGACCCGTTATAGATGATACACAGTCAAGTTCCCCACCTAATGATGCAATATCAGAACCCAATTCAAAATCAGAAATTGAATTGGAGATTGGGCCCGTTGTAGATGATACTCTGTCAAGTTTCCCACCTAATGATACTATATCAAAAGAACCCCATCCAAAATCAGAAGTTGAATCTGAGAGAGCCCTAGTTGTCGATGATACTCTGTCAAGTTTCCCACCAAATGATGCAAGATCAGAGGAACCCACTTCAAAATCAGAAGTTGAATCAGAAAGTGCACCTGTTGTAGATGATACTCTGCCAAGTTTCCCACCCAATGATGAAATGTCAGAAGAATCCAATTCAAAAGCAGGAGTTGAATATCAAAGTGCGCCCCTTGTGGAGGATACTCCACCAAGTTTCCCACCAAATGATGCAGTATCAGAAGAACCAAATTCAAAATCTGAAGTTGAATCTGAAAGTGTGCTCGTTGTAGATGATAATCTGCCAAGTCTCCCAACCAATGATGCAATATCAGAAGAACCCATTTCAAAAGCAGAAGTTGAATCTGAGAGTCAGCCAGTTGTGGATGATACCTCAAGTTTCCCACCGAATGGTGCAATATCGGAAGAAACCAAATCAAACTCAGAAGTTGAATCTGAGTGTCTGCTCGTTGCAGATGATACTTTGTCAAATTTCCCACCAAATGATGCAATATCAGAAGAACCCATTTCAAAATCAGAAGTTGAATCTGAAAGTGTGCTCATTATAGATGAAACCCTGTCAAGTTTCACACCTAATGACACGATATCAGAACACAATTCAAAATCAGAAATTGAATTGGAGAGTGTTCCCAATGAAGATGATACTCTGTCAAGTTTCACAGCAGATGGTGCAATATCAGATCCCAAGACCAGCCATGATTCTGTTGATGTAGATGCTGGTTTGTCAAATTTGGAGGTTGAATGTGTTGCCAGCCCTCCTATATCTGTTTCTGACAACAATGCAAATGAAGCTAGCTATCCTGCTAAGCCAGATATTGATGAAAAGCTAGCGTCTGAAGTTCAGAGTACATCTGCTCTGACAAGCAGAGCTATCCCCGATGATGAAGTCAACACATCTGAATCCACAATTCTGAATGACTCTTTTGTTGAGAATGGCACTTTTGTGGAGAATGGAAGGCCGCTAACTTGCAACCTGGATGATGTTAAAATTGAAAGTGATGTTAATTCAACACATCAAGAAGTGGAGCGCACTGGCGGAATTCTTGGATCTGAACCCTCAGCTTCTTCTGGGGAAGTTTCCACTGCTGATGCTGTGGAAGGGCAGAATAAGGGTGCTGAGGTAGAAAAAAGGCCGTTCTACTTCTTGATAAGGATTCCAAGATATGATGATGAAAATTTAAAAGAAGAGATTAAACAGGCTCAGTTACATGTTGAAGAAAAAACTAAAAGCCGGGATGCTATTCGTTCCAAAATCCAAATGAAAAGGGTAAGAAATCTTTTGCAAATGGCTTCGACTATATTTTGTTTGTAGTATTTTATATCTTGCCACATTAACTGTTGGGGTTCTTTTATGGCTAGGCTACTTGTAAGGAGTATTTCGATAAATTTGAAGCTGCCAGATCTGAAGAGAGAGCTGCACGAGACCTGTTTAAGGCCAAGCGCAAGGAAATGGATTCTGTTCAATTAATGATTAACAAAGTGAAGAATGCAATCTCTATTGAGGATTTGGATTATAAAGTAAGTTATCACTTGTCTTTCCTCAGTACTATCAATTACTACCATATATTTATGTCACTATTTGAATATGTTTGTATATTCATGAATGTCTGCGTCCTTCAAATTTGTTTCATGAGTAGATACGCAATATGGAACACAGTATGGAGCATGAGACCTTGCCTTTGAAGGAAGAAAAGCAATTTATTCGAGAAATTAAGCAACTGAAGCAACTTCGTGAACAGCTCTCTTCTAGCCTGGGTAAGCAGGATGAAGTTCAAGAAGCTTTAGACCAGAAAGACCATGTTGAACAGAGCTCAAAGGTAGTATTTTTCAATTGTACTTGTCATTTTCTATTTATTAGTTAACCGGTCTGGGTCCTATGGAAGACGTGCTATGTTATATAGTTCATATGGAAGTCTTATGCTGAGATCTATTTCAAATATAAACACCTAAATCACACTCAAGTTGTAGTATACTTTTCTTTTGCCCAGAATCGAGATTAGTGAGTGTTTAATACTGTCAGAGTTAGACAACCTCTTGTTATTATCTCGTAGCATTAGTGAGCTATTAAGGTATTTATACGATCTTCCATTATTACAGGTTCTGAGGAAGGAAATGGATCTACTCAGAGAAAATCTTCTCAAAGCAGAGGCAGTCACTCAAGTTGCTAAGAAGAAATTTAATGAAGAAAATAATATGCTGAACGAAATACTTTATCAGTTTAGAGCTGCAGATGACATTCGTCAAGAAGCATATGCACATTTACAGGGTTTGAGGAAAAAACAATATGAAAAGGTGTTTGCATTCCGTCGATGAAAAACGTTATTACTGTTAGGATTATCCTCTCTTTGCGGTGTACACATGCACATACAAATACGCTATTGAGCATTTCTGATGCTAATTATGTCACCATTAAAAAGATGTATGTTTAAGGTTTCGCCTAACATTGACTTAAAGTTTTCAGCCTTCTTACGTTTAAGTTTGCTCATAACATGTTTCTCCCATTGATAAATCAAACACTTTGAAGGTTTATTGCTCTCCCATTGATAAATCAAATACTTAGAAGGTTTATGCTTTTCGTTTTGTTATACATGCTTTTATCTTGTGATATGTTGTTGCAAATTTAGAAAAGAGATATTAACCCTCTTATTCCTGCAGAACAAATACTTTTGGAGGTACAAGGATGATGCGAAGGCTGCTAATAATCTGGCACTGAGCGGAGATAGGGAACAATTACAACGTTTGTGTATCAATCAGGTTAGCTTATGAAGCCCTGTTGTTGTTGTTGTTGCGTGTTTCCCCCTACCTTTTTTTGTTGAAGAATCTGGAACAATAGCTTATGTGTGAATTGGCTGAAATTCAATTAATTAGGTGGAAACAGTTATGGAACTCTGGAATAATAATGATGATTTCCGGAAAGAATACTTGAGATGTAACAACAGGAGTACATTAAGGAGGTTGAGAACCTCAGATGGGCGCTCTCTTGGTCCTGATGAGGAGCCCCCTGTAATACCTGATATCGTAAGAGCAACCAAGAATAATTTGGCAACAGTGGTTTCCACTCCTGAACAACCAAAGCAAGTTGCCCCTGAGGAGGCTGAACAACCAGATGACATATCTTCAATGAAGGTTGTTCAACAGAAAAATGAGATGGCTAAAATGAAGAAGCCTGTGAAATCCGCTTCCTCAGAAATTATCCCAGAAACTGCTTCTGAAAGAGACAATTTTGAAGAGGAAAAGGTAGAAGTCCCTAAATTAACAAAGGAGGAAGAAGAATTGGCCAGAAAGACAGAAGAATTGAGAAAGGAAGAAGCAGAAGCTAGGTTGAGAGAGCAGCGTAGACTGGAGGAGAAGGCCAAAGCTAAGGAAGCACAGGAGAGGAAAAAAAGAACAGCGGAGAAGGCCCAAGCCAGAGCTGCCATAAGAGCACAGAAGGAAGCGGAGGAGAAAGAGAAGGTAAAATTTCATCACCCTTAACTTTACAATTCCACGAAAGTCTAGTAGGCATTCTAGATATAGAGAGTTCCCATGTGATGCAATATTCTTTTCTTCTGTGCATCGATCGTGCGATGGCTTGTATCTTGTGCAGGAAAGGGAGAAGAGGATAAGGAAGAAGGAAAGAAAGATGGCGACTACAACAAAGGCTACAAATGATATTAGTGAAGTAGAATGTGCTTCAGAACCAAGCTCAGAGGCACCAACTGAAATTCCTAAGGAGCCTGAAACTAGAGAGAAACCGGTGACAGTAACAAAGAGGTCTCAGAAATCATCGCAGTTGACAAAGCAAACCAAGGTAAAATCCATGCCTCTGCCTCTTCGCAACCGCAGTAAGAGAAGGATGCAGCCTTGGATGTGGGCTGTAGCGGCAATTGTGCTCATCTTTGCCTTGTTTTTGCTGGGCAATGGAGGCAGCTCCTATTTTAAAGCTACGCTGGAAAAGTTTTTCTGAATACATGCAGTTATTAAACTAGGTAAATTAACAGAGTTTGCAAGGGCATTCCCATAATAATAATATTATTATATACATATATATTATATATATAGGCAATTCTTTTGTGCGCGTATAGTGATTTATTATTTTCCTTTTAGTTTGCAGTTTTCTTTCACACCAGTTATAGATTGGTTTCTTTAATTATTATTATTAATATAAGCGTGAAGAACAAAAGAGGGGGAAAAAAAAAAAAAGGAACCAAAGATGCAGCTGCTGCTGCTGCTGCTGCTTTTTCTGATGCTTTTCTACCATCATGTATGTTGCTTGTTGCTTGCTTTGCTTGTGGTGAGTTATGTTATGTTAATAAAGATCAAATTTTTTTTAGTAAGTTTCTGTCCCTCCCTTTGAGCTGCCCGACCACGAATTGCATTTAATTTGAATTGTGTAATGTGTACTGGTTACGTGAAAATGATGTTAACGTGGGTCTGGTGTTTTGCGTACTCGATTCAGTTTATTAGCTCGACTCTTTTCGAGTCCAGTTTAAAACAAAAGGGAAGTGATTCAATAGAATACAAGTTTTCTTTTCTTTGACATAACAGTGCAAGTCCCTTTACATGGCGAGAGATTCTCAACCACCTGAGAGCTTACGTCACCGCAATCGTGGCATCCCTGGGGCATCAAGTGCGAATAACATAACATTTGTAAGTTTCTCTTTACACCGTGAAATATTTTTCTCATATCATCAAGTTTATTATGTAAACATCGGCTCGATGGTAATGGATTCTACTAAAATTAATTCTTGATTACATGAGAGAATATTTTAGGCGTGATTGTTGTATTAGTGGCATGGGATACCACAGTGACAATATATATGTAACTTGTCAAGTTGGTGCTTGCTGAGTTGCATTTGTACACTTTATGTGTTGAATGAATAGAGTCACCATGTGACGAGGAGGCTCAGGTTATAGAAAAGGAAAACAGCTGTTTCCCTCTCTCGACGTGTGAATGTAAAGTTATAGAAAGAAAAACGAAAAATAATTAGGGATATGGTTGGAACGGACGGGTCCCCAACCCAAGCAGACCGGACCAGATGCATAGCACATAGACGAGTAGAGGAGGATACAGCTGGTTCCCTGCCACGCGTCACTGTGCAAAGGGCCGGCTACAGGATCTTTGGACCATTCAACAACTAAATTCCAGTACAAAGAATGCGTAGGATAGGATACTGCCCAACTGGCTAGCACATTAGCAGCTACGGTGCCATAATTGCCGTTCTCAATTTGTCAATGCCATTAATACTTGATAGAAAAATCTGAAATTTTGACATAGTTCTCCAATTAGAATCATTCTAAAATTCATCCGTTTAATCATTTTTTGCTCTAGAGGAAGTCGAATATTCTATATTAAAAATATAATTCAAAGTATAAAAGTTTTACCCAAATAACTAATAAATTAATATTAAGATAATGGTAAAATATATAGTATAATAACGACTCATCAATATTCAATTTGATTGGATTTTAATTTGGGTGTCCCATCTTTCGTGTGAATTTTGATTTAATAAGTAATTATGTCACTCACATGAGCCTACATACTTGATCGTGATAGGGTAGAGTCTTTTCACTTTTAAGGAATCGTCCCTAAAATATAACATAGAGGTTTCGTACCCAACTCAAGTTGTGTATGTACATGTATATTCTTGAACACGAATGTGGCTGTGTTTTGAAATTAACAAGCATTTGAGATGTCTCTGCGTCATTCTATTCTATGGACAATACTAGGAGCATGGATTAAATTGGCTAACAACTCTCAACATATGCAATAGTTGGCCTAGTGGTACAAGACGTTCATACTAGTCCCTCTTAATCAGTGTTCGATACTCCCAGTCGCATCGTTTGTGATTCATCTCAATCAAAGTGTCAGCCTCTCAATTAACAAATTCATCACATGTGTTGGTTGAGATAACAAAGTATCTTGCAGTGATTTGTAAACTTCAATTTACAGAAAATACTTTAACAAGACCAAGATTCTTCATTTCAATTTTGGTAGGTGGATGCTCAAAGTTTATGCATTTTCAGCAAATACTGCACCATTTCCATAACAACCTACCGAAAATATGACAAATTGGGCAGATGCTTACCGAAAGCAGGAAGAGATTAAGTAGGGGCCGGGTTTCGTTGAAAATTTACGTGGCCTCGGTTGAAACGTGAAAGCTAGCAAATTTTGTGTGGGTGTATGGTACATAGTTCCGGTCAATAAAGGAGGTATATTAAGATATTTTTTTATGTTAAAAAGTAAGTAGATAATGTTTTTAGCATGTGAATTATATTGAAAAGTACATGGAGCGTCTATTTTTAACTCTGTTATTGTTGAAAATGTAGAATTAAATGAAATGAGTAATTAATCAAATAGGTGACAATAGGAACGAGGATTAAAAGTCGTATGCGGGAAAGGCGAATTAAATTAAGAAAATGTAATCCTTGTCCTTTTTTTCCTTCCAAAAAATGCAAACGTTGTCAGGTGTTCATATTAATCCTAATTATTATAATCTGATGTTCACACATGCCTCTACCCGTACGTCCCCTAAATGGCAAATTGCAAAACCCAATTTCAAGGGCAGTTTGGTAAAATAGCATCATCTTCAATCCTCATCTGCTGGTGATAAAATTATATTAAATTTATTGAGAAAAAATCAGAATTTATAAAAAAGTGATAAAATAGTACTATAACAGTGTGATGGTACATTAGTACATTTATTTTACTAATTGTAATTTATTTTGTACATATATTATAATATAATAATATAATATAGTGGTATTGTCTAGGTGGAAGCAAGCAAGGAAAGGTCTTGGATTCTTCGTTTGCTGCTTTGAGCCGCCTCCAATACCACCCCAATCTCACTCGAATTTACGATAGTTGCCATTCACAGAAAGAAAGAAAGAAAAAAGATGTTACAAGCTTAAGCTGGTGAGGACGACTTGGAATCTAGAGAGAGGAAAAGTAAAAGAAAAGTTAAGAGAGAGAAAGAGAAGAGAGGGTTTGCTTTCATCAGTTGGATCTGCAAACGTTGTTTCAGAACTGCTGATAACGGTTTGGTTTTAGATTCGGTTTTGTTATTGGAAGCGGCCGCCGACGCCGACGAAGACGCAGAATCAGTCTGTCTGTCTGTCGTTTCATTTCAACTGGGATTTACGGGAGAAGACCTTCTTCGCTGTTGATGTAAGTCAATTCGATGACATGTGAGATTTGTCTCTGACCATCGACTACCGGAGTCTCAAGTATTCAGATCGGACGTCGGAGTTTACTCCGGCTTGGTTTCGGTTGGATTAATCCCCGGACAAAGTGAAGACTTTTGGGTAAAACGGATGTGGATGTGGATGGATTCTAGATTTCTGTGAAGGTACGCAATTCTTTTACTAAATTTTGTTTCCGGTTGTGTATCGAGCAATCTTTTCGCTTTTTATTCGCCGACCCGCACACCTATTTCTTTTTCAACTGAAACCATAGTCACAAAATTAAAAAAAAAAAAAAAACTCGAAAACGATTATTTGCGCACTACTCAAGCTTTGTGTGAAACTTGCTTACATGACATGATTTGTTCTTTTGAATAAGGTTCATGCTTTTTGCATCTTTTTATTTTTTATTTTTTGAGTTTTGATCGATTTGTTGTAAAGCAGTAAATAATTGACTTTATCCAATTTTTGTGCTTGCGTAGATTTTGTGTGTGTTTTGGTTTGTCTTGAATCTATGATGGAAAACGCCGGCGGCCAAGTTGCTGCTCCAATTTACATTCACCGGACGCTTTCGGGCCGGTTTTGTGATTCGCCGGTCATGGGGAGGAAGCGCGATCTCCCTTACCAGGGCCCCAATTATCAACACCCCCACTCGCAGCAGCCGCGCTTCGCAAACCCCGGCAACGACTGGAATCCTCGCGTTTGGGACTGGGACACTGTCAGATTTGTTGCCAAGCCGCTGGACTCCAGGATGATGCATCTGGGTTCTACTTCCACAACAGAGCAGAGGAACAAAGAGGAAGCTTCTGGGCCTGTGAAGGACACGGCAGAAGACGAAGACGACGAGAGCCTTCAGCTGAATCTCGCCGGTGGCTTCACCTCTGTGGAGGAGCCTGTGCCCAGGCCCAATAAAAGGGTCCGGTCTGGATCTCCAGGGAATGGGAATGGCAACTACCCTATGTGCCAAGTTGATAACTGTAAGGAAGATCTGTCAAATGCCAAGGACTACCATCGCCGACATAAAGTCTGTGAGGTTCACAGTAAATCCACCAGAGCCCTTGTTGCCAAGCAGATGCAGAGATTCTGCCAGCAGTGCAGCAGGTCATTTTGTTTAACGAATTATTAGTTTTTTGGTTTCTCATCTTCATTTCCCTCCCTTTTTAGTGATTTTCCTAGCTCTGAAGTCATATCAAAATCATTGTTTGTTGTTGCAGGTTTCACCCCCTTTCAGAGTTTGATGAGGGGAAGAGGAGTTGTAGACGGAGACTTGCGGGGCATAACCGGAGAAGAAGAAAAACCCAACCAGAGGATGTTACTTCACGGCTCACTCTCCCAGGAGATGGGGATAACAAAATCATTGGAAATAGTGATATCATCAACTTGCTAGCTGCTATAGCTCGTCCTCAAGGTAACAAGATTATTCTTGAGTTCATGATCTTGTATTTCCTGTGATCAGGTGCTAAATTTCTGCATTAAAATTTGTAGGGAAAAATGATGTCAGAAATATCAATGGCTCATCAGTGTTGGACAGAGAGCAGCTCCTTCGGGTTCTTAGTAAGATAAATTCGTTACCTTTGCCAGCAGAACTTGCTGCCAAGTTGCCTAATCTTGGAAGTTTGACTAGGAAAGCTTCTGAACTGCTTTCTTTAGATCTTCAAAACAAATTGAATGGAAGAGCATCTGCATCAACCATGGATTTGCTTACTGTACTATCTGCTACTCTAGCAACATCTGCTCCTGAAGCTCACGCAAAGTTATCTCAAAAGTGCAGCCAGAGCAGTGACAGTGAGAAAACTAAGTTGACCTGCTCTGACCAGGCAGCTGAACCCAATTTGCACAAGATACCTCCACAAGAGATTCATTCAGCTGGGGGAGAGAGAAGTAGCACTAGTTACCAGTCTCCCATGGAAGATTCAGACTGCCAAGTTCAAGAAGCTCGAGTTAATTTACCCTTACAGCTATTTAGCTCCTCACCTGAGAATGACAGCCCGCCAAAACTGGCTTCTTCTAGAAAGTATTTCTCTTCTGACAGTAGTAATCCCACTGAAGATAGGTCTCCTTCATCTTCCCCTCCTGTTGTGCAAACACTGTTTCCACTGAAGAGTTTGGCAGAGACTGTTAAGTCCGAGAAGTTGTTGGTAAGCAAAGAGGGCAGTGCAAACCCCGACACTAGCTGGACTTGTGGCAGTAACATGCCTTTTGATCTTTTTAGAGGGTCAAATAAGGGAGCTGAAGCGAGCTCCATTCAAAACTTTCCTAACCAACCTGGCTATACTTCTTCTGGTTCGGACCATTCACCTTCTAGTTTAAATTCTGATGTGCAGGTACTGTTGACTTACTACCTATTGCTTTATTCTGTACTTTGATTATTTCACGTCTGTACACATCTGTTGGATGTTATTAGTCTATGTTGATTGCGGGATTGAATTGATTGTTTTGTTCTCTGACAGGATCGCACTGGAAGGATATTATTTAAGCTCTTTGATAAAGATCCAAGTCATTTACCAGGGACATTGCGGACACAGGTTAGGAGTTTATGGTTCTTGTTTTAATCGCTCCCTTTTGTACGAATTGTCAAGACAACATTGTAGTTTGTACAGCTTTATTTGGGGGGAGGGGGATTCTTACAATGTTTATTGCTCTGTTCTTCTAGATATACAATTGGCTTTCCAGCAGTCCATCTGAAATGGAGAGCTACATAAGGCCTGGTTGTGTCGTTCTATCAGTTTATGTATCAATGCCATCTGCTTCCTGGGAGCAAGTGAGTGAATTTTTTTAGTGCTGATCAGCAATCTTTTCATTGTACTTTTGCTGACTACTTGTAAGATGTGTGTATTTTTTTCAGCTTGAAGAAAACCTGGTTCAGCGTGTCAGTTCTTTGGTTCAGAGTTCAGATTCTGATTTTTGGAGAAGTGGGAGGTTTTTAGTTAATACAGGCAGGCAATTAGCATCACACAAAGATGGTAAGTACTGATCAGTAGTGGTGGCTTTTGGTTACTGATATTCTCTGTGATTGATTTTCAATAAGGTGCTTGTGTTTTTTGTTTTAAAAAGCACCCTACTGTCTGTTAATTTACCAGTGTGCTTCCACTTTATATTTTCAAATTTTTTTTACCAGTGTGCTTCCACTTGTGTTTTGGAAAAGGATATCAGCAGATAATTTCTGAAAGTTTCTTTTACTTTTTTGCGTTTCATTCTCAATTTATTAGGCTGAAAGAATTCTTTTGGTCATCATTAACTTATCCTCGTATTGTGGTATTCTTTAATTCCATATCATTTCAACTGTTACGTTTTTGGAGCTCTTGAAGTGTGATTTCTACTTATTTCTAGTAGCTCTTATGCGAAAATAAACCTTCTTCAACAAGTTTTTCCTCAGCTGCTTCTAAGTATGACTTGTGTGTCATTGGCATATTGCCTTGTAATTTTCTCTTGAATTTTGTTTGCGTGACATAATTTTTCAGGAAAAATTCGTACATGCAAAGCTTGGAGATCATGTAGTTCTCCAGAGTTGATCTCTGTGTCCCCTTTGGCTGTCGTGGGTGGGCAAGAAACCTCTCTTCTGTTAAGGGGTAGAAATTTGAATAATCTTGGCACCAGGTTAGTACAATTTGCTTTTGTGTTCTTCTGTGAATTCCTTGTCTCTGTTTCTGAAGTTTCCGGTCATGCAGGATTCATTGCACATATATGGGTGGTTACACGTCAAAGGAAGCTACTGGTTCAGCATGTCGTGGAACGATGTATGATGAGATAAACTTGGGTAGTTTCCAAATTCATGATGCATCTCCTGGTGTTCTTGGTCGCTGTTTTATAGAGGTAAAACTCTAAGGAACAATTGGTTTGTTTTGGAAATTGATGTAGAAAAGTTTGTGTTGTATTGATGTTTGCCAATATGAACAGGTGGAAAATGGTTTTAAGGGCAACAGTTTTCCAGTGATAATAGCTGATGCTACAATCTGCAGAGAATTGAAAGTCCTTGAGTCAGTGTTTGATGCTGAGGCAAAAGTATGTGATGTAATATCAGTAGCTGGAAGGCATGATTATGGGCGGCCGACATCAAGGGATGAAGTCCTACACTTTTTGAATGAGCTTGGATGGCTTTTCCAAAGAAAAAGGATATGTTCCATGCTTCAAGAGCCTCATTATACACTCAGCCGTTTCAAATTTTTACTCGCATTCACTGTCGAGAAAGACTGTTGTGCTTTGGTTAAAACACTTCTAGACATACTATTTGAAAGAAATTTCGACAGTGATGCGCTGTCGGGAGGATTGGTTATGCTGTCAGACATGCAGCTTCTGAACCGGGCAGTAAAAAGGAGGTGCAGGAAGATGGTTGACTTGCTCATTAATTATTCTACAGCCAACCGTGACAGTGACGAGCGTTATATTTTTCCACCTAATCTTGCTGGACCTGGTGGCATGACCCCTCTTCATTTGGCTGCTTGTATGTCAAGTACAGATGACATAATTGATGCTTTGACAAATGACCCGCTGGAGGTAAAAATATTTTTTGGCATGCTCGTGACTCGTCTATAAAATTGTTTGGAGTTTGGACATTGTGCTTATTCCAATTTATAGATTTTGGTGTGCTTTTTTAATGGATGCTATAAAACTTATTACCAGTCTTACAAATAAGCTGACAGATTTTTTTTTGACCTTTGACATATTTTTTTTTTTAACCTTTTGTTTCACACTTTCCCTCTAGATTGGATTGAACTGCTGGAAGTCTCTTTTGGATGCTAATGGGCAGTCTCCGTATGCTTATGCTTTGATGAGGAATAATTACTCTTATAACAACTTGGTGGCTCGTAAGCTTGCTGACAGAAGAAATAGTCAGATTACTGTCACAATTGGAAATGAGAGAGATCAACATCAGATGAGTATGGAGCTGGAGCACAGGACAAGTACCCAATTCAGACAAGGTAGTAGATCATGTACCAAGTGTGCAATTGCAGCTACAAAGTACACTAGGAGGGTTCCCGGTGCTCAAGGCTTGCTTCAGCGTCCCTTCATTCATTCTATGCTTGCCATAGCTGCTGTTTGTGTATGTGTCTGCTTGTTCTTGAGAGGCTTACCGGATATTGGCTTAGTTGCTCCTTTCAAGTGGGAGAATTTGGGTTACGGCACAATTTAATCTTTATAGGATAAGTAGTGATTAAGAAATAGGAACAAACTGTGGGTCGACGTGCACTTTCCAGATTAACTTGATTGGGATGATGCAATTCTGGAAAAGGGAAGATTTTTGCTTTAGCGGCATTCAAGAGGAAGCCTAGGGGGGTGATGGCGGACCTCATAAGGAAGTGATTCTGAATCAGGCTCAGGTATTTGATGATTCAGATACTGCATGTTTATCTCCAACTGACCCGATATGTGTATAGTCTTGGGTTATGCTCTTCCTTTTGCTCATTTGCGTTGCGAAATAGGTGAATTTTCTGTCGTTCACCTCTTTAAACGTAGAAACTCTTCCACCCTTGAGACCCCCACCCATGTATAATGTTGGATAAGATGAATGGATGAATCGATGATTCATGGCGATGGGCAGATTGGAAAAGTATTCATGGAAAGTAGGATGAAGGAAAAGTGTCGGAGGCCCATAAAGAAGGAAGAAGTGAAAGTGGATGAAAAAAATAAGCAGTTATACCAAAAGTAGATGTTAATGATATATGTGGATGTGGGTCTCCCCTTCCGGATTTCTATCTAGCATAGAGAGATAGAAGCCTGACCATGAGAAAATTTGATTGGAGTTTATTTAAGATAAAAGAGGCAGCTCCCAGGTGGTGTATTTTTTGCTTTCGAGATTTTATATAATTTTATTTTTCGGGTGTAAATTTCGGAGATCGATATTATTTAACAAACGGTAAAGATGTCGTCTCTTTTGTGTTGGAGCTCAGCTTATACATGGGATTTGTACGGTTTCTAAATCATGTGCTAATGGCTAAATTCACGATGGGAAGGGATCTCCTAAGTTGAAGATTTGAGAAACAAAAATATTTAGACGGCGGTGATGGTGTGTGCCACTGGCTGAGGAAATGTGAGCTCCAAGGGTTTGAGGTTAGGCATTTCACATGGGACTCTTGTAACATTGCTTATAGTCTTGTGAAGGGTTTTGCATTGCTATTTGCCATTCCTCCTAGCAAGTTAGCAAGTGCATCCTTAATTGATTTGTGAAACCCAGCTGTTGTGTTGGTGCATGATTTTCCATATTCCGTGAAACCCCAATAAACATTTCTTTGTTGCCTTCACCTATATTCCGTATTTTGCATCCAAATTTGCTGCAATTGGGTTCAACTGAGAGAAGGGTAGGATTCTTTAAGCTAACTATCTCTAAATTACGGAGAGATATATCTAAACTTGGATTATAAATGGGGAGCAGACACTAGCCACGTGTCAACCTACATTTCCTTCCCCCTTTTTATCCTTTGATTTCTACAATACAATCACGTGTACTAGTGTATGAAATTGAGCGGGAGAAGAAAATGTTTATGTTTTCCATCTGTAACAAGTAAATAACTACTTAGTTATATATACGTGCATCCCTAAACCCTATTTATATGATGGATAATGTTGGGAGATTAATTTTTAAACTAAATGACGTGTCACTAATAATATTCTTCATATTCTGGAGCAATTGTTGAAAATCACGTGATTAAGGATCTTTACATTCTAGGGCCAAAAAGGATTGGATAAAACATTGAAATAAATAAGTTTTATATTGTCAAATACCGTATCATATTCTGTTTTTGCTACAATAGAGCGAGTTCCGGTCCCTCATCAAGTTGTTCCTCCATATAAAAAATTTAGGGAAAATTAGAATCCCCATCACTTTTATAATCCTCTTTAGATTAAACATTGGTTATAATACAAAATTTGATTAGGACACCTAAACAATAGTCATGTCAACATTTTTATATTTATTTAGATTACAAATCATTATTGTGTTTTTTTTAATTAATATATTAATTATTAAATTCCATATATATCCTTTTATGTAGATATATTTCTGTACGTGCCTATTCTTTAGGAAGCCGGTTCTCCCACGTTTTTTTAATTCAATCCCATCTATGAAAGTCTCTTACTCAGGTTTTTTTTTTTTCAAAATCAAAGCCTCCGAACAGAGAACCACATTTCTTAGTTGGCCTACTACATATATTGATACTAGCCCAATGGCGTCGTCCATTTCTAGCTTTTAGTCCAATTTCTTTGTATAATCTCGTTTTGATAGGAGCTAATGACCAATGAGTATAACTTTGCCCCTATGCAATTAACTTTATGTACCAAACGCCTTGAATGATCTAATTTAATATTATATCATGAACCAAACAATCATTATGAGTCAGTGTAACATTAAGTAACATACCAAACTCCTAGTACATTACAAACACAATGTATAACGTTTTTTCAGACAAATACGTTTCAAAAATAAAGAAAAATTTATGTACCAAATGCCTGAAATGATCTAATTTAATATTATATCATGAACCAAACGATCATTATGAGTCAGTGTAACATTAAGTAACGTACCAAACTCCTGTTACATTTACAAACACACTGTATAATGTTTTTCCAGACAAATAAGTTTTCAAAAAATTATTGAAACTTTACGTACCAAATGCCTAGAATGATCTAATTTAATATTATATTATGAATCAAACGATCATTATGAGTCAGTGTAACATTAAGTAGTAACGTATCAAACTCTTGGTAAAATTACAAACACACATTGTATAACGTTTTTCCAAACAAATAAGTTTCAAAAAATAAAAAAAACTTTACGTACCAAACGCCTTAAATGATCTAATTTAACATTCTATCATGAACCAAACGATCAATATAAGTATGTTGTAACATTAAGTAACGTACCAAAACTCTTGGTACATTACAAAAACACACACTGATAACGTTTTTCCAGACAAAATACGTTTCAAAAATAAAAAAAACTTTACGTACCAAACGATCAATATGAGTCAACATAACATTAAATGACATACCAAACTCTTGGTACATTACAAAGTTGCAATCCAATAATGTACCAAATTAAAAATGTTAACTGGTACATTACAAAGTCGCAGTCCAATATGAGTCAGCATAACATTAATAATGTACTAATCATAGCCTTGCTCAGGACCCTCAACTTCTTATACTAGCTACGTACGTTGCGGTGTAACTCCTAACAAGTTGGATGGATCTGAGATCCAACCGAAGCTCCATATAGGATTCTTAATTCAATTAATACTAAAACCATAATTAATAATTAGGCTAATACACAACATGCATCGACCCTAACGTGTGAATCATATTTTTTAACTCGATAACAGCTTCAGCTATACCTAGATTAATTAAGTTTTCATCTTTTATTTTTTTTCGTTTAATCAAATCCTTCGACTTCGAAAGACAATCAAAATCAATACACCCAACTGATAATTGAATAAAAATCAGTAACTGGAACCTGAATACCAACGTCGACCTCGGTACAAAAAGAAGGCTTTTGAAATTTATGGTACGTTCATAGGAAGGAAGTGTCGTTGGAAAATAAAATTCACTAGAAAAATAACATTATTAATATCCTTAAATTCAAATCTTTCTGATATTCAACAAGTATTCTACTCGGATTAAAACTCTGAGACATAGTTAGCAAGAATCTAGGAAACTTGCGTGCATTTTGGGGTGAAGAAACTGGATACGGCAAAGAGATATGTTAAAGGCTATGGCAAAATATGTAATTTAGGTACGTTACAATGGGTTAATTAAAATACACATGGCACCAAAATTGTAGGAGAATGTTTAATCAAATTGTTAAATTGAATAGATGTTTAATCTAGGGGTGTGCTATCCACACACCCCAAATTACTTCTCACACACCCCTTGTTAATTTCTGTCCGTTGATCTTCTTCAATTCATCTGATCCGACGGTCGAAAATTAAAAAGGTGTGTGAGAAGTAAAATGGGGTGTGTGGATATCACATCCCTTAATCTAAGAAGCCTAAAAATGAGGGGTCTATATCAAAACGCCCCAAAAATTTAATTCAATTTAAAACCATTTACCATTTAATTGTCAGTGTCACGATAAAATTTCAATGTTTCTTAAAATTCGTCAATTTCTTTAAACTCTATTAGATGCCTCAAATATTTCCTATTTGGCTATTTTGTAAAGATGATTTATGAAGTGCAACTTGAAAACTAAATGGTTCGGAGCGTTGAAGTTTGATGTGGTTTGAAGCGTTATATATTAAAGTGATATATATAATAATTAATCAATCATATACATATGTACGTACATATATCATAAATACATTTGGTAATTCATAAATATACAGTCTAAAGTGGAGAGCTTCATGAATATACGCATATGCACAAGAACATATGGTTAATCAGTCAGGAGAATTGGATGATCGGCGGGCATTTGGTCTTCCTGACCTGGCAATATCTTGAACCAAGACATCAGCAACACCTTCCCCAAGCCCCTCAATGAGGCCGCCGATGAATTCAGTGACAACTTGAGACGCGAGGCGAGCAGCAGTCCCCAACACACTCGGCTTTTCACGTCCCTTGAGGCCGTTCTCTTGCAACCCATTTATCATGTTCTTAGCGCACACTGCATGCAGATGGTAATCGCACACCGTGCAGTGGTAAACCCTGCCCGACCTCCTCCTCCTGCACTCCCCACAAACAAAACTCCTACTAGAAGAATCAGCTGCTGATAAAAGTCTTAGGGTATGTGGGTGAGTCTGGAGGTTTATTTCTGATGACAGCATCGCACAGCAAGGATGCATCTGGAAGCTGCATGCGCTGCATCTGAAGGCATAACCTTTGCTTGGCTTGTGACAAATATCGCACTTGGATTGTGCAATTCCTCCTTTAACTAAATAAAATTTGTCTTCAGTGTGGTATTGCATAAAAGGAAATAGTATGTGTATGTATTAAGTAGAATCTAAGCATCTAACCCGTAACCAATTCAGAGTCTTCTATATGTTGCTAAGCAAAATCTATAGTTTGGTAAGATAACACTTTTCGCATCCGTATAACGTACGAGTAGCCACTTGTTTGGATTTGATTTCAAGAGAATTTTGATATATATATATATATATATGTATGTATGTATATGCGTGGCAATTAATTGTGAGAGTGACGTAGGTTATGAATGAATTACCTGCTTTAGAATAGAAAACAAGTTGGTGTTGGATGTGGAAGGGATGGTTCTTTAGAGCTGGAGGAGCTAAGGCACAAAAATCATGCAGCTGAAAGTCACATAGTTGACAAATGAACCTCTTGCCGGCGCCGTACTCCTTGCAGCCTGCGCAGGTGAAGAGGTCGGGCAGGATCACTTGGGACAGGGGGTGTTGTGGATGACTGAAATGAAGTCTCTCTTCCCCAAATATCAGCTGAGATGTGGGGAATTCGACCAAAGGAGACTTGTTATTTCTAGGGACAATATTATCTAAATTTGTGGGTTGGGATTGGGGGGGAGTTGATTCTGACCTCTTGAGGAGAAAAGTTGTCTTCCTCGGGTGTTTATTGCTTATCATCATGGTTGGTTTCTTTTCTCTCCCCTCTGCAGCTGGTCGACCAACGGTCTCTGGCTAGCTAGCTTGTTAGTTGGTGGTGCAAATTGCGAAACAGAAGGAGAATATTTATGCTAAAAAAGTTTACACTATTTTGGGGAAGCATGTTGAAAGAAGATGCCACCTACTTGGGTGCAGTTTGGGATTGAAGTGATTAAAAAAAAAGCTAGTATGAAAAAAAGTTGGGATCTTTTTTGTATTTGGTAAACATTCAACTTTAGTTTTTTTTCACAGTTTTGGGTGAAAAAAAAAAACAAAAAACAAGAAGATGCAAAACCCAGCTTTGAAAAATCAGTTTTTTTTCACACATGTTTTACATAAAAGTTTACCAAACACTATAATACTGTTTTTTTTTTCAAAAGCATTTTTACAAAAAAGTTTACCAAACACTCTACAGTTTTATTTCACAGCCACTTATTCTCACAGCACAGCAGAATCACTTTTTTTTTTCAAAACACAGCAATACCAAATAGCCCTTAGACACATTGAAAGAATTTTGCTACTAAATAAAAGAAACGCATAATGCATATAAAGTATATTGTCATCTTTTTCCAATATACATCTATTTACACTGATAAAGTAATTTAACGATCGAGGACCAAGATTGATGATTAAGGCTGGCATTGTTTGGGGTTCACCTTGCAACGTGAATTATAGTTGTTAGCTCTCGTTCAAGAGTCACCTAGGCATAAAAGCCATAAAATCGAGAAATCGTTTAATTAATTAATTTTATTACATTTTTAATGGATTTTTTTTTATATATACAGAAAATGGTATTTCTTTCCTAAATCAATCAAAGCGTACATAGTAGAGCATGTGGCATAAGAAAGGATCTCGGAAAAAAAAATCTTATCTAAGTAAAACTATATGGGAAAAAAGCCTAGAGAAAAGAAAAGAGATCCGCGTACTTTTTAAACAAAAACCATCGATGTCGGAAAGAAGGCAAAACTTAAAGTCAAGAGATAACATCTGCAATAACGAGCTCGTCTTGAACACAATTCAATCCATGAGCAACGACATTCATCCATCCAAAATAAGAGCCCCCGATTTCGAAGGCTCTGTTGGGCAATCCTGTGAGCCACTCCATTTGCCCTACATGAAACATGTTGTACATGAAACTAACGTAACCTTAATCAAATAATTAAAATTAAAAAAATTGTGTAGTTAAAGATGGCACTATTTAAGTCTCAAGGTCACCAAGAAAAGAAAAATGAGTAAAGTGATACAGGGCAAAAAACAGTGTGCAATTTGCTACCGAAAAAGTAGATACCGCCGCCCCAAAGTCAAGGAAGGTGGGTCTTTATAAACTTTAGTCGCGGGCAATTGCATGTGATAAGTGGTTAGCTTTTCTGCAGGGATCTTCGACTTTCTTGTCCCAACCAACTAGAAATATGAGCCCCATCGACCCAAAAAAAGTAGAGTTGTAATATTCTATTCGATACAAAGGGAAATCAAGGAAAATTTTGTTTCTTGATCTGCTTTTAATTAGCAGTAATGCTAGCGAAACTACATTTCTTTTACCACATTAGTATATCATATGATTTAGCAAATGATGTATAGAATAAACATCAAATAAAATCAACTCGTTAACTGACTTGCTATATCATATAATGAACAATATAGTATATAAATGTGATCTCCCTAATGAAGGCAGATTTTCTGCCCTCCCACTTCTCGTGCCCTTCCGTGCCATTCTATTTTGTGTGGTCACGGTTAAGCCACGTCAACATTTTATATATTTTTTTTTATTGAGATAATAAGACAAAAAATAATAGTAATATAAAATGTTAACGTGGCTTAACCGTGATTACACAAACAGGAGGGCACGAGAAGTGAGAGGGCTGAGAATCTGCCTCCCTCCTTAATACCTTTTTTTAATTAGTCCCATCTCTTATGTATTTTGCTTGTTGGTTTGTAGAGCATCTTACGACAAATATTAAAAAAGGATGCTTCGTTTTTTCAATTTCTTGGTGGAGTGGGTGATGCCCCAATTATTAGTTTGTGTTTTTCAAGTGATTCCCATTGGGCCATTGATAGTACTCCCTTTCCATCTATCCTTTACACCAAGAAATACACAAACGAAAATTCAAATTAATTAAGAAAAACACGATATTCCTTGATACGTTGTATCTTTAAGACTTTAAGCCATATATCACAACTTTATTCCTGCAGGCAGCAGCCAGTATGTTTCGCTTGAGGTACAGTAGTCACTAGTTGTTAGTACTTGCCGACTCTCCCAACAGATCGATCACAATTGCTTTGATCCTTATCCAAAACGGGAAAAAACTAAGAACTGAAGCTTAATCATCCTTACAAGTAAGCTAACCCTAGTTTTCCGCAAGTTTACACGATTACATTTCTTAGGATAAAGTTTTGTGCGTATTAGGCATAACACTATAAGGTGTTATCATTTTACTTGTTATAATATGAGTAGACGACAACATTGATATTATTTTATTTCTGGAGTATATTAATTAGGTAAAACTAAATACATGTGTTATAATTTGAGTAGAAGAAATTGCCATGTATCGATATTGTTAGTGTAAAATTGGCAATTCTTACATTTGTATAAATTTTTGGATGCAATTGTTGAGTTTAAGTTTGTATTTTGCGCATTTGATAAAAAAAATGTCACTCACAATTAGGGACCTGCTTAAATAAATTTGTTATGTATATGCACTCATGTCATGTAGTCTAGACTTGCCTGAGAGATAAAACTAATTGAGGAATTACAGTTTGCTCAATTCTAAATTGTATGGTTAAAATAGTTATAAGTTTAATTGTCTGTTGTATTATGAGAATTGTTATTGGCACTCCAAAAATCTCATTTTGCACTCCAAATTTTCTATAATTGGTAAGAAAATTACACTTATGAGAAGTGTATAATGAAAATTTTAAAGTGCTAATAACAACTCTCTTGTTTTATTTGAGTTAAATTAAATAAGCCCAACTATTCTACTTTTACTTGGTCAGCGACTCAGTGACAAATGGCTAGGTGTTTGGACTTGATTTTGGGCCTGATTTATAGGTTATAGTAACTTGGGTGTTTGGGCCTTTGTGTGTTATTTGAGTCTCATTTTGTAAATTTTTAACAAGTCTTCTGAAAGGTTTATTCTTATAATTGAGTAAGAAAACCTACAAATGTTTCTTAGATTGAGAGAAATCCATATTGAATATTGAGGTGGTTTGGGCAATACAAACAATCAAACAAATTAAAACTCTTTCAAATTCTACATGAGCGGATGAAACAAAATGCGTCATGGTCTTAATCTTTTAATGTGTGTGATACCAATTCGTCATAACATCTCGAAATGAGATACCCTTTTTATTTAGTATTTAGTTAGTCTAACTTTTTTTTATCAATATTTTATTTACTCATTAATAAAATAAGAATATCTCTTACTCATTTAAAGAGAATTGCTCATAGCATCTTTAGTGAAGACATACAGATCTGAGTTGTAAAAACCACATTTGCATCTCTAGGAGATGTGAATATGAATTCTACTTCAGATGAAATGTAAATTTGAGATTTCATTTATTTTTTTCCTAATAACTTCATAACATAAATTTACAATCTCATCACTTCAAAATATTTAATCTCATTACTCAAAACTTAAAGTGTCACAACCCGATCCGAGGATTAATTATCGTGGTTGTGAAAAGATAGATTTACCCTTGGGCGTTGGATGTGTGTTGGTGTTTTGGATTAAGAAATTGGGTCAATTGGTTCTACCCCTAACCAATTGGACCCAATTAGAATTAAAAGATTAAAGAATTGTGATTGGTGTGCATGTTTGGACCACACACATCCATACCTTTCTCTCTCTCACTCCCCTATGCTCTCTCTCTTCTCTCTCTCTCAGTTTCACTCTCTTTCTCTCTCTCGGCATTGTGTACGGACAACACCAAAACCTTTGCAAACGCTACGGATCGAAGTGGAAAATGGCACCATTGTGTTCGTGAAGCTCAGACGAACACATCCATACCATTTTCAAGTAAGGACATCTTTGTTTTAGCGTGAAAACCCTAACCTCGAATGAGGTATTGTTCATGCAAAAACTTATGGCTTGTTTTTATGGAATTTGAAGCTTATAGGAAGCTTTGTAAGGTCCCTAGGAGGCTAGGGATAGTTCGTCTGAGGATTTTGGACGTCGGAAAGTGGAGATCGACACGTTTTAAATTTTGGCCGGAAAGTCGAGGTAATTTCCGACGTGTTCTCGTGAATTTCAAGGACCCAAATTGTTATATCGTGTTTCTACTTGTCCTTAGCTTCATTTTGGTTTAAATTTCATAAGTTTTGGTGAAGAAATGAGTGAGAACAAGGGTTTTAAAGTTTTACCCAGTTTTCCGACGACCGGCGACTCGCCGGAGAAGATGATAGCATATTCCGTCAATTTGGACGAAATATGCTGACGCCGTCAGTCAATTCTAACGGAATCTGTTAGGTTTAACGGAATATTCCTTAACGATGGTTAGAGAATCCGTCAGGTTTGGCCGCGCGTGGGGATGCGTTTTGTCGTGCCTTTGCTGGCGCGTGGCGGCGTGTGGGAGGTCTAAAAATAATTCTAAAAATATGGGGATGATCTTGAGGTTGTATAGATCACTGTGGTATATTCATATACCCAGTTTGAGCAATGTATGAGAAGTTATTAGCTAGTTTTGTCTATGTGCTTTAAAATAACATTTTTATAGTTAATTCGCATATAGGTGACAATTATCCCGAGGACGAGCGTATCCACGAGCGACTTGGGGGCTACGACCCTTCGACATACCACTGAGTGGGCTTTTGTTTTCAGTATATATTTATATACTTGATATATTTCCCAGAAATGCATTTTAAAGAAAGTATGATTTGAAATAATATGTCAATTGCTTTTATATTCTGAATATGCATTTCATGGTTGCATATATATATAAATGTGGTGCTGTGGAGGCACATGTAAGTGTACGTAAGTTATGTTTGGTTATGTGAGTCATCGATGATGTGATATGTGATTGATTGATGTTGAGCTCATAAAACTGCACCTAGGGTGATTGTGATTTAGCCAAAGATATGAAATA